GATACCTACTATGTGAAAATATTAAAAAAGTTAGTGTTCTGAGCCATACATTATTTAAAAAATAATTATTTCTGACTAAACTACGCAGAATTCGAGAAAAAAGAAGGGACATTTTTTCTTCAAAAAAGACTAATTCGAAAAATTTCTATTAAGGGTAGTTATAAAACTATTCGTATTTATAACCGATTTTGATGAAACTGATGATAGTTAAAGACCCTTGTGGTATGATTATTAACTACAATTTTCATTACATTATTTTAAATCAGAAAGTTATTTTAAAAAATTTCCTAATGATAAGACCCCTTTGGAGAGCCATATCGCAGTAACGGTGCTCCAGAGGACCAATGTTTATAAGAACTTTTTTTACTATTTTTGGCTCTACTTTCACCTCCTTAACCAATTGAACCAATTTTTCAAAACACCCTGTATAATATATATTATTTATAATTTATTTATTTATTTATTTAACTTACTCTACAGGGGGAATAAGTTCCAATTACAAAGATACACACATTAAAAAAAAATAACAGTAATGATAAAACAACAGAACAACACAAAAAACTATTTAATATACTGTCAAAAATGAAACAAACGAAAAACGAAATTAAATAATGCCAATAATCAATTTAAANTTTTTTGTTGGTTTTTAATAATAAAGTTATTATTTTGTTTTTTTTTGTATATATATTTTGTATTTACAAAATCTGAACCTCTGGTGAACATTACATTTCGAATATATTGTAGACACTTGTCTAAACTAAAAATATTTACATTTATTTTAAGCACTTTGACTTTGAGCATTTAAAAATTTTCGCCTGCGGCGCTACTTTTTTCTCTTTTGACTAATTATACGATAAAAAAGTTGTGCCCCATATTTTAAAATTGAAAAGGTGGCAACCCTGCCGTCACACTACCCGCCGATCGTCTTGCTACCTATCTGCACACTATTCTCACTTCAACTACCTATCTTCAACTATCTAGGCTTCCTTCCAGAATTGCCCCCCTAAGCGTTTGTTTTTGTGCTTCCTTCTACAGACCGTTAATATTACTTTTTCATTATTATACAACACTCATGTAACAGGTGACGTCGAAGTTGATAAGATAAGTACGGTTTTGCACAATATTACATACATAGTTGCATTGCATAGCACTCCTGTACTTGTGATATGCTAATTTATTGTAAAAATTTACAGAAATAAACTTTTTGCAATTCAGAACATTGTTAAAAATTTGTTGTGACCGCAAAACCAGACTTATACAAACCATCCAGCGTCCAATTCGCTGAGGATTTCCTGTATCTGGAGTGAAGATTCTAAGGAATAAAACCAGACTTAAAAAGCAGTGCCAAAAAACAGAAATAGACAGAGTAATAATTAAAAAAACTAGATAATGTGCAAAAAGTACTCAACAATTCAGTAGAAAATGACTCACTTGAAAACCTTTCTACCAAACCAGTGCCATACCGAGGATCAAGTTATAAACAAATAACAGAGAGCGTGTCCTACTATCTGATCCAAAGAGAACATCAGATACTGTTAGACAGAGAGAGCCGCGGTGGAAAAGGATAAAAATATACCCTGTCTGCAATAATGAGTCAGGTGGTACGTTGGTGGTGGATTACGCAGGAATCCTCAGGGTACAACAGCGAGAGAAGAGGATGGAATGCGATAATACCTGAACACAAGATGAAGTAATTTATGTGTATTACACAGTTACATTACATAGTTTATGTTTAGATATCTTTTATAGTTTACAAGATATCGTACTCAAGAATTTTAAACTAAAGACCCTATATAAATTATTAAGTTATTCCTAAGACTGAGTCTGTATCAAAATGGTTATTCACTTGTAGTTGTTCTCTACACGTCTGAGTGGATATCGTGACAAAATAAGAATACTGAATAAAGGAACTTTACAAAAATAATTACTCACTCACAATAGAAAGACGCTCTTGATATTTTTATTTGGATATATAAATCGTGGTGGTGCGAAGTTGAATTTCTCAACTTCTACAGTTACAAAATAAGTGGCTACATTAGGTGGGTCCCCTCTATCGGCAACCTGAAAAGTTATATAATCTGTTAATACCTAAGAGGCTATATTTTTGTAAATAAGAAAACGAGATCTCAAGATTATAGAGTAATGAATGAGTTTACAGATAAGTCGGTGTATTTCTTTGTGGAAGTGGTAGTGCAGCTAATTTATAAAAGTAATAAGTATTATTTATTATTCTTTTTTTATGTTCCGTATTAGTAAATACAGTTTGAACCTCATACATTTGCAGGCAAATTTGAAAAATCTGCATACAAACAAATCAAATCTTATAATTTCATTCAAATTATAGTTAGCATAACAGTACTTTTGCAAATAATGTACAGGGTATCCCGAAAGGGTCTTTACAACGCTCCACCAGAATAAGTTGATTTCGCTAAACTTACCTTAGTTCAATTTTGCTCCGTTTGGACGGTATACGGCCCTGAAGTTGCAATTTTGCAATATTTTTTTTATATAAATTTAAAACGCTTTATGTGATTTTTCTAAAATTTGACACCGCTCTATAGGACAATAAACCCCATTATATATTTAATTTTTGTGTCAAAATTGCTGCCAATGATTAAAATTACAAGTTTTGAATAATCCATGAGAGTTATCGAGTCTTATCAACAGTAGATACCTTTTTTGTAGTAAATAATTTACTTAATCTAAATGTTATGTTTAAAATTATTTTCTTCCATTGGCGTAGAATTATGGAATTAATATCCTATAGAACGGTGTCAACTTACCAAATATTAGGAAAATCGCATAAGGCGTTTTAAATGTATAAAAAAAAACTATTTCACAATTGCAACTTCAGAGGCGTATACCTCCCAAACGGAGCAACTTTGAACTAAGGTAGGTACGCTTAGCCAAATCGACTTATTTTGAACCGCACTGTATCTGGTGGAGCGTTGTAAAGACCTTTTAGGGACACCCTTTATAATATAATGAGAATCCTGACAATAATAAGTTAACTGCCTTACTCTTAATCATCTGCTGTTTTATATTATTTTTTAATAATGATTTGGTTTCTGTAATTGAAAACTATATTACTGGTAAGAAACAATATATAAAAATCTTGATTCTCTTCACTAACTAATTGATAGCGCAGTGCTACAGGTATATACTTTAGGCCCCTTATTTTTTATGATTTATACCTCTCAGTGTAAAAAAATATATCTCAATGTAAATCACACTTTTGCGTTGACGTCACACAATTATATTATTTTTTCAAAGAAAATAGGAAACAACAAATTAATCATAGTAAGCAGTTATTATTTAAATTATGTTTTAAATATATAAATATTGTTTTTATAATCCTTTAAAATCTAAAATAATGTAATGTGGAAGATGCGCTGCTAGAATTCGATCTAAAAGTCGTAACCGTATTAAATTATTTGATGATCAACTACAACCAATCAATTTAGGTTTAACAATTGATACTTCCTTGAAACATATCAGATTAATTTGATAATTAAACGATCTTTTGATTATCCGAAATTGTTCTTTTCTAATAGAGAATCATCTAATAAAGAAGATGTAATTTTAGTATCATGATTTTATCACGCATGTAAGTTATTGCAGTATTATCCATTAAAAAAAAGACGATCAAGGGCGTTTACAAAAAACTTATATTATCATCAATATATTTCTCCTAAAATTGAAAAATGTTAGTTCTTAAATCACCACTTTCATGAAAAAATTTGATTAGAACTAATATACACAATATTAATATGATTTAAGAATACTTATGTTATCCGTGTCAGCACATCAACGTCTTTATTTCAATGTTGCTTGAATCAGATAACAAAATATTATAATGTGGGGAGATACATTATTTAAAGCCAAAATTGAAAGTTTTATATTCATTTTATCTTATTTTAATTTTTTCTTCAACGTGACGTTAATTGTAGTGGATATACCGAGTGGGGCATTTATCTTGAGACAAAATAATATCTCGGTTGGACTCG